TTAATTGTAAAAATTAATTGTTGTAATTAAAATGTTGTAAATAAATCATGTAAATATTTGCGTTAATGAAAAAATGTTAAACGGATAAAGATAGAAAATACAGAAAACAGGAAAATAATTAGAAAACAGATGGCATGTCGATCCACCAACCTTTCATACTTGACGCCGCGCGGTACATCGCTAGGGTCTATTGGAGTCACATTGAAAGTAAGATTTGGACAGTGCTATGTATATTACGACACTGTGACGTCATTGAGCGACGAAACAAGCTCAACCAATAGCAGCGCTCACTACAGCCCTATGTTCTTGATTGACCTGGGGAAAAAAATCACGCCTACCGCGTAGCGTACAGAATCGCTAGTGTGTCCTAGGAATTGACCTAGCGCTACCAAACTTGGTATACTTACACATCTCTCGGAGAAGGTGAGCAGCGTACCAAAACCAGGTCACTGCGACCTTTATTTTACCTTTACCTTGATCTTAATCATATTTCCCTTCCACTCTATAACTCGGCCCCTAATTGACCTAGCGCTACCAAACTTGGTATACTTACACATCTTGGGGAGAATGTATGTCGCGTACCAAAACAAGGTCACTGCGGCTTTTATTTGACCTTGACCTTGACCTTGATCATATTTCCCTTCCACTCTATAACTCGGCCCCTAATTGACCTAGCGCGACCAAACTTGGTATACTTACACATCTTGGGGAGAAGGTGTGTCGCGTACCGAAACCAGGTTACTGCAACCTTTATTTGACCTTGACCTTGACCTTGACCTTCATCATATTTTTCTTCTGCTCTATAACTCGGCCCCTAATTGACCTAGTGCGACCAAACTTCGTATACTTACACATCTTGGGGAGAACACGGGGGATACATGTAGTTGGCGACAACTGACCTTTCTAGTTTTAATCTAGATCTAGAACTAACCTAATTAATGTTTAATTTTATATGGATGTAATGTTAATACTCAGCTTCATCTTGCTAGAATGTAGAAGCCGTCACGTGCGTTGACTGGGACGCCATTTATTATTGGTTTACAACCCGCCAATACAACGGATGGAGGTTCATTCGAGACTACAAGAAATTTGCAACTACATGGAATTTCTTTTAGAATGCTGAATGCTCGGGAATTGGAATCAGGTGGACGCCTGTATAAACAGAGTATCGGAGAGCTGTCTTTAAATTTGCTTGAGAATATACTTTCTTACAAAAACATTTATTGTCATTTTACTCCCGTTCAGTAATAACCAGAAGGCGATGGATATGTTCAAACATATGAATAAAAAAGCTTTATTCGTCCATGAAGGGTGTAACTATACGACCACCGTGACAAGTTGTCCAACGCGAACTGGTAGGCGATACAAAAGCTTGACAAAAACATGTTTTTAACTTTGTTTCACTGTGACAGCATGACCGTTGAATCAAGTGTCAACCGCCTATATAATATAGCGGCTATTTTATTAATATTGTTTTGATTCAAATGAAGTACAAAAAAGTATTTGCACGCCTATAATTTTCTAGTTTAGAAAACATGCTAAAAAGTTTATTGGCGAAACGTGTGGCGAAGCGTGTCAGCAAAACAATGACGTACAATTTTATAGTTTGTCGCGTGTACAGTATAGGTGGTGGCCATCTATCGCATTCGCGTCGGTCAACGGATAAGGTCGGTGCTTCACACATTCGGGGGCGGGTATGGTGGGCATGGTGGGTCTACGGGCGGGTCTGGTGGACATGGTGGGTCCACGGGCGGGTCTGGTGGACATGGTGGGTCCACGGGCGGGTCTGGTGGGCATGGTGGCTCCACGGGCGTAGGCGGCTCAGGTTTAGGGTCAGGTTTAGGGTCTGGTTTAGGGTCAGGCTTAGGGTCTGGTGGGTCCACGGGCGGGTCTGGTGGGCATGGTGGCTCTACGGGCGTAGGCGGATCAGGTTTAGGATCTGGTGGGCAGGGTGGGTCAGGTTTAGGGCATGGTGGGCAGGGTGGCTCGACCGGTTTCGGGGGTTCCGGCTTGCACACGCACTCCGAATCGCTGCTGCTTCTGCTGCTGCTTTTGCTGCTTTTGCTGCCTTTGCTGCTTTTGCTGCTTTTGCTGCCTTTGCTGCCTTTGCTGCTTTTGCTGCTGCAGCTGCAAGAAGAAAGAAAAGACGGTAACAAATTCCGCCATTTTGCCAGGATATGCACGCATCGCGTAGGCGTATCCAGAGGCGGGTTAAAAACCTCCGCAATTCCCCTCTGCGAGTGGATGCGGCTCATCATGGCGCTGAAATTGATCGTAGTTGTAATAAAGTACTTAAAATAGAAAATCAACTAAAGCTACCGGATTCAAACCACATATAGTCTGGAATTATATGTGAGTAATTAGTGCGGCCCGCACTCCTCCTGTTTAACAGACTGCTCCCGTTCAGATTTCCTTAGTTTACTAGACGCTGCACACCCACACATGACGATCGACACCAACGCGCATGCGTACACGCACAAACACGCGCGCACGCGTACTATAGGCGCATATACACATAGCACAACAGGAATGCGAAAGAGCATTGAGATAAAAACAACAACACCGTAAGCCACATCATGATAACCAACTATAATATTTATTATGATATGATAATTAATATATATGATATAAATAGATATCGGTGTTGTGTCCAATCTGCAGACGTAGGCCTACGTGCAGTCACATGCACACACACACACACACACACACACACACACACACACACACACACACACACACACACATGCTCGCACGCACGCACGCGTGCGTGCGTACGCACAAATACGCACGCACGCACGCGCACAAATACGCACGCACGCACGCGCACAAACACACACACGCATACACACGCACACGCGTATTAAGAATGAATTTCACCGTTGTACGCTCTCATTCTTAATACGCTCTTGATTGTAATATAGGTCGCCGACCGCCTGTATGCCAAAACTTTTTCGCACATGGGGATCCGGTAGGGGAATAATTTTTCTCAGTTGAAATACACTGATTCAATAACCTGCCCTTGTCTATAGTCGATTGCTTGACGGCGCCCATAAATGCGATTGTAAGAATCAATTCTATCTTGTACTGCTGAACATACCTTCCGCTGTCGCTGTCGCTGTCGCTGTCACTGCAACTGCTACCGCTGCCCTTGCCCTTGCCCTTCTTGTCGTGTTTTTTATGCTTCTTCTTGTCTTTCTTTTTGTCCTTTTTCTTATCGCATTTTTTGCTGTGGAAGGAAATGGTAGCAGTGGTCTTCTATGATATAGTGTTATTGTCACATTTAATTATCAAAAAACATTGAAATTGTTATACGTGTTGTGTGCGTGCGTGTGTGTGCACAGGCACTTGGAACGTTTCAATAGTAAAATGATGGTAAATAAACACGATAAACTCTTTATTCTTGTCGTTTGAGCACAGCGGCGTGCGTGCGGTGTACTCGTGTGTTGCAGGAAGTTACAGAAAGTTATCGGCAATAATAGGCGAAAGAGAATAGAGAAACTTTAAGCCTTTGGTAGTAAATAAAGTTCGTGTATATTAAACCATCATTTTACTATTGAAACGTTCCACGTGCCTGTGTGTGTGAGTAGTGCGCGCGTGCGCGTAGGCCTATATATATATATATATATATATATATATTGTAAGCAGGCAGTTTACATGAATGTAGCTGCATATGAAAGTAGCAATGGGTGCGAATATTGATATGGTGGCGAATGTGATGATATCAAGAGCATATAAAGAAGGATATAAATGCTCTTGATGATATCGGGTTAAATTGAATAATACTGGGAAAACTGCGTCACGTGAAGAGACGACCAGTTCGAGCGCTCATATAAAAGCGAGCGCGTGTCGATTTCAGGGGGAGAGAGAGAAATAGTGTAGTTTAGCGAGCAGACAGTAGACAGCATGATCTAATCGGTCGAGTAGAGTTGTGCGGCTATAGTGATTTGTGTTAGAAGCGGCAATGCTTTGAATTGGTTTGGAGAGAATCTTATTACTGAAACATTAATCATCTTGATTAAACATTATTGTGCGTTATTTCTGGCTTAATGTGTCAATCTTGAGTTCTTACAGCTTTACTACAAATCCAGTGAATTCACCTGTGTAGTTGTGATTTCCCGACTACAATATATATATAATTATAGTATCTATAAACATAGTCTTACATGATTCGTACTTACGGTGGCATGTCTCAGTATATACGGTGCACTGGAACAACCTGATCTGGTTTATGCAGAAATGGATTTCTAGGGCATGTCACACTCTATACATCTATAACACCTGTAGTAGGACTTTGATCGGCAGCCTGTTTTTCTTATGAATTATTACATCAACCTTTGCTACCCGTAAGCGCACGTGGAGAAAATATAGACCTCTGTACCTGCATCGATCATTCTGATGAACTTTACTACTCAAAGCAAAGAATCCAGAAGAGACCGGATACTAGAGCAGGGCCGTAGCCTGCGGGAGGGGGGCAGCTGCCCCACCCTAGACATCGCGAGCGTCAAGTATGACAGGTCGGTGGATCGAATCTCACCCTTTTTATAATTATTTTCCTGTTTTCTGTTTTTTTCTATTTTTTATCCGTTTAACATTTTTTTCCAATTAACGCAAATATTTATATGATTTATTTACAACATTTTAATAACAACAATAAATTTTTACAACAATTAAAAATTAAATTTTGTATATATTTTTTAAATAGGGTTTGGGTTAGGG